TTAGTGATCGTATAAGTATAGGTTGCATTATCACTCTTAACAACTTTATATTGTACCCATAATTCAGCATTCATTGGTGGTTTTGTTCTTTCTGGTTTTAAGTTTAATAAAGAGTTAAGAAAGGCATATTTTTTTAATTCTTCTTCGGTGGCGGGTCTATTATCCATTATGAAAGTCAATGATAATAATAATGGTAATTATACCCAGTACAACTCGGGTCCCTTATATATTTACATTAATAGTGTGTGTAACCTAAAATTATTTATTAATAGATATCAATTGATTTTATATTTATCATTAATTTGATCATAGAACAACAAACTGATAAAGAAAATCATGAAAGGTGTAAAAATGAAACTTGTAGGAAATGTTGTGATTTCTACAATAAAATAATTTCGTATAGAAACTGTTATCTTCAGGATAAAAAATGTGAATGGTCAAGGGTCATGTATGAAGAGGATTTTAATCTTAAAAAGGAAGAGATAAAAACTCTTGGGTTTTATTCGGCTGGATTTGAGAAGGGATGTGAATTTGAAAAACTTCATTTACAAGGGTACATTCAATTTAACACTAGAGTTACTGGAAAATATGTAAAGCAACATTTTGGAAACAATTTACATATCGTCGTGCCAACTTTTAACCCGCGGAGAAAGCAGAATTCAGATAGACCATATAAAACTGGTGCAGAATGCAGACATGAGTATTCCGTAAAGAGATATGATAAATGCGCTATACATAAACACTGTTCGTGTAGTTACATAGATCCTGAAGATGTATGTGATGAGTGTCTTCCAACAAAAGAAACCTGTATGCAAAGTAGAAGATCACTTGAAATAAAGGATAGGAATGGAATCATTATTGAAAAGTATATATTTGGAAACTTGAATAAAAAGATAGGATCGAGGAAATGAGCACGAGATAGATCTGAAGAAGAAATAGCTGATGATGTATCAGTCATCTCTAACAACGATGACTATTTAGACCAAGATATGACATCACGTGATCCTGGTTTATGGAAAAAGAAATCCCATAAAAATGTTAGTAAAAATGATAATCAGAATGAAAGTAAAATAGCAAATTATAAGATAATGTTAGATTCATTGGGAAAAGGAGAAACCGCATATTCAATACTCAAAAAAAATCCAAATCTTTTTATGAAAGCATCACAATTAAAAGCATTGAAACCAGGTGCACAACAAGAGAATTTAAAGTCAAAGATTTTAGTTACCAGATCAAAATGGAAACCCGAAGATTTTTTAATTCCAAAAATAGTAAATGATTGGATAAGCGATAATATTTTAAATAAACAAAAAAGAAAGCCAGGCCGTAAGTGTTCTGTTCTCGTTATGAAAAATGGAAAGGGAAAATGGAGTCTTGTAGAATCATTGGTAAATTGTGGGATAAAAATCGCACATTTTCGTAACGAATTTCAACCACATGTATACAACTCCAATGAATGCAACGTGTTATGTTTAGACAACATTTACGATTTTACCACAACAAATAAAATGAATGAACGGGTATTCAATAGTAGAAAATATGCACAACTCCTTCTTGGGAAAGATAGAATACTCATCAATCAAAGGTATTTCTTAGAGTGTTCTGTACCAATCATTGTGCTCTGCACCGAAAACACGTGCCCCTTTATTTATAATTGTAATACCGAAGATGATGATTTTCTAAGGAGATTCTTTGAAAATGCACTTGTTTTAGATCTTTGCAGTCTGGATATGAGAAACA